GGGCTAGCAAAGGTTTAGTCTTGGGTCGAGATTTCCGTATGTAAGAAGAGTACAATGCGTTTATAATGTACTGAACAAAGAGAGGACAGTAAACATGTTGCCAAACGTATGAAATAAACCGAGAAACTGTGCACATCGCCAAGATACATGGAAGGGGATATAGCAGATTTGTCGCAGTTGACCAGTCGACCCAATCAATACCTCTGTGAGTACTTAAAGTTCTAGGAAAGGTGTACGTCATGCGTTCAGCTTCACGATTTAATTACGTCCCGTGATACTTAATTTGTTTATTTTTAACGAGTCGTTGTAATTTTCCCTATAGCTTGAATTTTTTAAGGGCAAGCTAGAAACACATGCATTTTGGTAAAAATAAGTGGAATTGAGTGAGTGTTCGCTAGTGGTCGCGCTATTAGAACTCTGAATTCAAAATCGATATCTCGAAATCTATTAGAAATAATAGATTGTAGTTTTTCAAGAACTTTGTTAATAAATGGCTGTAGTTTCAATTATGTAGACAGTCTTCAGTTATGGCCTGTTATCAATAAAAAGTTACACGATTGCTGAAAATTGCTATGCTCTAAAAGTAAATGATGGATTGTTTACAATTTTTGAATGGAAAATTAACCTTATCGATATTTTTTATGTAATTCCATTGTAAAATATCCGAAACATGTCTAAAAAAGTTTTATCTAAAGTGGTCTCTTGAGTTATGGCCTCTTATGTGTTAAAAGTTGAGTTTTTAATTTTTTCAGATGCTCAGAAACATGTCTAGTCTGTCCAACGAGAAGATCCTTGACAGTGATAGATGTGTCTGTCATTTTAATTTCAAAGTATTTTACTTGATAGGGAAAGGCGTATCGGCAACGCCGCAACAGCACACCGTCGCGCGTCGCGTCGGTCGGTCGCATTTCTCTCACTCCGACTTAATAAGATCCCTATGCGATTTACTTCCACACATGTAAATGCCGACCCAAAAGTAACAGTTGCCAGCACGGTATAAGTCACTTGAGAAAATTAAAAGTTTGGTTTGCTAATTTTAATGTTCTGAATGTTTATATTGAAATTAGAAGAACAAACTTCTACACTAATTGAAACCACTAATTGCGATGTTCTGAAGGAAGCTTTAGTGTTTTTTAATTTAATTCTCTTATTCCTACATTATAATCCAAAAAAAAAACGTAAGAAATAAAGAAATTTATACGACATTTCTTCCGTTTGTTTTTATCAAGAGCTTGAAATAATAAAAACGCATTGTACAGGAAAAACACTCTCAGAACAGAAAAAATGCTCCAAGAAAACCCATTAACAAAATCACGGATGACGCTCCGAGTGTTCAAGTTCAAGTTTGCCCTAAAACTTTTCCTGAAATCAACGTTTTCCACATTTAACTCCGGGAGTTTTCCAGATTTAACTTTAAAATTTCCGAAAGAAGGGGGAAAACGGAAAATTGTCTGGCATGTGTTTAGAAACGGAAATTTCTAATTGAAAAGGAAAGTGATGCGTTTTTTGCGTAGCAAAAATGATTAAAATTAGTACAATGTACAGGGTGTCCCAATATTCCATGGACATAGAACTACAGCGAAATTTTGGAAAGTGCTTCGTTCGTCAAACTTTAAAAAAATAAACAGATTTTTTAAGATATTCTAAGTCCCGTTATTCCGACTTGAATACTGCCAAGACACATTATATAATTAAAAGATGCCCAAATCGTATTTTTAATAATCTCTCAATTTTTTCAAATGGAACGAGAGTGGCTCATTGGCATATTTAGAAAAAACATTTTTTACGAAAAGGTGAGCCATCTTAAAAAAAATAATTCTTTAAGTTTTTTTTTTAAGAATTGGATAAAGAATTAGATAATTGAGAACCGTAGAAAGAGTAGATATGTGTAGTTGCAACAGTTGCAGCATATACAGGGTGGCCCATCAAAAACGTTCCGCAAGGCATAACGGCCAGGGTATTTTTTTTTAAATATCCAAAAACACATAAATTTTGTTTTTGAGGGGGACAACTTTTGACCCAAAAATGATTGCAAAATCTTCAATCCTCTAAACGGGGGTGTCATCCCCCAACTTTTTTCAAATGGGAAGGGGGGTCAAGTGGCGCCGCAATGAAAAGAGCTTTCTATTCTCTATATTTCGCCGCTTTGTTTTTGAAAATCGGTCGAGTCATTGAGAAAATATGAAGGATTGAAATTTAAAAAGTTTATCGTGATTCGTAATTCGCCGTTGTTTATTCCGGAAGCAACGAGATATCATAGTGTTTTTCCTTTGTCCGTAATTTTTTACCAGTTCATAGACAAAGAGATGTAGCGGGAATTGTAATAGTTCTTGAAATCATTAAGTAGCCCATGGACGTACGTTATGTGTAGCGAGTATGAAAGAAAGAGATAGGTATAAAACGTATATCAAAGACATCAAAGAAGAACTGGCCGGCGAATAGCCATTTCGTAACCGAAATTACCAACCGGATTATAATATATCTCTTCATACGTGGAACGTGGTGTTAGAAATAAATCAGTTTAAGTGAAAATTTGCAGTTTCTTTTAGAACGAAAGAATACTACTATAAGGGAAATTATAAAATTCCAATTGGTTTTACAAAAAGCCTATTTATTTTATGTATAACTAACAACACAAGTTTATAAAACAGCAAAATTTTTTTTTATAATTCCCTTATAATAGTAGTATCCTTTCGTTCTGAAAGAAACTGCTAATTTTCACTTAAACTGATTTATTCCCAACACCACGTTCCCTTTACGTGGTATAGGGAATATGTATAATCAGTTTAAGTGAAAATTTTCAGTTTTAGAATGAAAGAATGGCTAATTTAAATTTTCCGCCAGCCAGACTGTGCGATAATGTCTTACGATACGTTTTACACCTATCTCTTTCTTTTTCATATAAAGCACACATAATAAAGAAAGATAGCAATAAAGACGTACGCCCTGCCGTGGTCCTGCTAATTGGTTTCAAAATTCTTATTCTGAGTTCCGCTACGGGAACGCGGTTCCACTCTTTACCATGGGATTTGTTAGTCTCTTTTTATTTGTTTGTCTAGGGGCTGTAGTAAAAAAATTACGGACCAAAAGTGGCGCGAAAACGCTATGACCAATCTCGTTTTTTGTCCCAAAAGCGGGTCATGTAGCAACAATTCCTCTGCAAGATCAAAGAACTGTTACTGCTGATTGGTACAAATCGGCGAGTTTGCTCAAATTGCTGAGTTTCGAAAAATCAACAATGTTTCTCCACTAAGACAATACCAAGTTACCATCCATTTACTCAATTCACAATAATTTATTTGTACTGCAAGTCCGGACACAATGTCTCTCAGATTTAAACACTTTGCTTAAAATTATAAAATGTTATTTAACTCACTCCTTGCATGAAAATAGATTTTTAAAACCTTAATATTTGTAACTCCAATTATTTAAATGTTTGTCAGAATCAAAAAATGAACTGACTGTTATTAGATACTGACCCAAACTCAGAATTCCTACTGTTACAAAAATTAAAAGAGAATGAAAAAATTAAATTTATATTATTACGTTTTATTTTCATCTATTTCTTATTATATGATCATTTCATCTCCATATTAGACGTTTTTTATATGATTTGGTCATCACCAATCGACATAGTGACGCGCTAGATTGCGTCCGAAGACACAATTACAGTTATTAGAAGGAATTTGACCCTCTTTATTGTTATACCTTCGATTTTTAATTCGATCTTCGAATGAACTCGATTGTTTAGGCGCTCCTTTTGATCGTTGATCGATCAGACTTTCGGCGTCGCTAAGCACCGTTATATAATTTCGATAATAAAAAATGAATTTCATCATTTTATAACCTTTAGATTATATTACACAATACTTTATTATGTAAAAAAACTAGGTATTTGATTTTAAAAATTTAAGTTGTTAAACGAAATTGATATATACGAGGGTAGTCTTAAAAGTTTCCGAGGTTGCCACGTAAATGTTACAGTAAAAGTCGGAAATCCAATAAATGTATCACTAGGAAATGCTAAAGCAGTATTCGGTAGTAAGCTCCAGTGAATGTAGCAATAATTGGAGAAAATAAATAAATAAATAAATGCCGTTATTGTCAAAAAAGAATTACAATTTGTACAAAGGTAAAGTAAACAAACAAAAGAGAATACAAAACAAAGTATAAAAACTAACAAGTATACAAATTACATAGTCAGTCTTATTGTTTAAAATAAAAATTTATAAATGTTTAAAATGTCAAAGAATAAAAAAATAAAAATAAGATTCAAAAATATTTAGTAAGTTTATAGTAAATATTAGACCAATGTTTACAAGATCAAATTCGATTATCAAAATATAAGTCATTTACGGCGTAGAAAGCTTTGTCTAGTAAATAAGATTTCAATGCTTTGCAAAATGAAGCAAATGATGTTATGGATGTGATTTCAAATGGCAGGCGATTGTGTATTTTTGTCGAGTTGTATAATATTAAACTTTTAACTAACTCTGAGCGTGGGGTAGGTAGATAAAGATCTTGCTCCGCGTTCCTGAGTGGATAAGTGTGAGATGGCCTTTCTTGAGAAGCTGATACATGCTTACGTTAATACCAAACCTAATGGCAAACGGATTCAAATATAAATAAGGAAGGAAAAGTTAATATCTTTAATTTTTTAAAAAAGTCCTGGCAATGAGTTCTGCTGTTTAGTCCCGGTGAATATCGAACAACTCTCTTCTGAAACTTCAAAATGCGGTCAAAAGAACGGAAGGGCATATCTGAGGTGCGACTCAAAAAGTGCATAATAAACAGTTCTAGCCACTGACAAGTTAAGCTCCTTAGAAACAGATATTAATGCAAAACAGGCAGAGCTTAATTTTTTCGACAAAGCGTTAGTATGCATGTCCCATTTTAGAAACAAATTATGTAGAAAAATAAAAAAAAAATAAATTAAACAATAAGTTTTGTACTCGAAGACTTTTCAAACTACCCTCGTAGAATGGTTAAGATTCACTTACCTTAGTGGTTTAAAGTATTCACACAAATAGTCGAATCTCTCATCTGGTACTGGAACCCTACGTAATAAAAAAACACCATGATAATTTCTTAAATTATTGACAATATGCAAAAAATTTTTGAATACCATTTGAAACTAATCATATACATTGATTTATTTTGACCCAGCAAAATATAAACAAACCGTTGGTTATTTTAACAGATTGCTTTGATTGGACCACTATGTATAATATTTTCTCAAGACCCCGAAACTAGGCCAATCAAAATTTTGTAAGAATTGTAACAATCAAGCAACTTTCAGACTTGTTAGCGTCTACCCTATAGAATTGATTAAATTCGCTTAAAGCGCGTGACCTTGGCTGACAGTAGCCTAGACCAACAGTAGCCAGAACTGAATATCCGCGCAGGTCCAAGCATGAATGCTGTCTTGAGGCGTCAAGACCAGTGCTGCCAGGTCTGGTGAAATTTCACCAGATCTGGTGATTTTCGACCCCACTTGGTGAAATGGTGAAAATTTTTTGAAAAAGCCTTTTTTCTGGTGATTTTTGGACACTGGCTTTTATTAAACAAAAAACACTATTATATTATGAGTTTACATTCAAAACGTAACAATGGTTATTGCAAAAAATAGAACAAATATACCTATTAAACTAAGTTTCAGGTAGAAAAATTAATTAACTTGAGAATTGACTTGAAACTTGACTTTTTTACATGGCTATACCGGGTGCGTCTCAAAAGTGGCTCACCTCTATAACTTTTTTACTTTTTCAGTTAAAAAAACGAGATTTGGTATGTTAGTATACGACATAAATTAGGATTGATTGAAGCATTCAATTGTTTTCGGTCACTTCCTGTTTCACCGGAAATTACTACAACTTTTGATTTTAAATGGCACCCTCGGCATTTTTTACTTCATTCGATAGAAAATAACACTCTGAATAGAATTACATATCATGTGTCAACTTTTTGACATTTTCACATATGGTTTATTTGAAATTATAACTTGCGGTTCGTAAAGAAAATTTGACTCGAAATACCAAGTGTGCGGTATAAAATTATTCGTAAAAAAATGATTTTTCCAAATATGCTAATGAGCCATTCTAGTTCCATTTTAAAAAATTGAGATATGATTAAATATACGATTTGAGCATTTTCACGATCAAATCTATTTTTCCAAGGTCCTTAATTAAGAATTATTGTTTTTAACATAGCCATGGCATTCTAGATTGAGTTTTAAAATATGATTTTTTATTAAGCGAGAATGTCAAAACTTGACATATAATATGTCATTCTATTCAGAGTGTCATTTTCTATCGAATAAAGTAAAAATATACCGAGGATGCCATTTAAAAACCAAAAATTGTAGTCATTTCCGGTGAAACAGGAAGTGACCAAAAACAATTGAATACGTTAATCCAATCTTAATTTTGTCATACATTAACATACCAAATCTTGTTTTTTTATCTGAAAAAATAAAAAAGTTATTATAGGGGTAAGCCATTTTGAGACCAGTATATTTGCATTTTGCATTTCAAAAATATTTTTTTTTTAATAAAATGTGTTTTAAAACTATTTATTTGGTTCTTTTTTAAATATTATCTGTAACTACTGTATTATATGCGAAAAAATTAAAATCTGGTGATTTTTTTCCAAATCTGGCAACTTTTAGAGCAGATATCTGGTGATTTTTAATATTATGACCTGGCAGCACTGGTCAAGACTTCACTTCGTCGCGCGCCCTGCTTGATAATGTATATCTTTTTTTTAATTAATTAGTTTATTAATAATGTATATCTATAAAGAGACCACCTTGTCTCTAATATGACTTTTGGTTTAAAGGTATTTTAAATTAAAATTAATCTACTCACACGGAAATTATTACTATTTTAATAGAAATATTTACTATACAGGGTGGCCCATCGAAAACGTTCCGCAAGGCATAACGGCCAGGGTATTAATTCTTCAAAAAATCCAAAAACACGTCAATTTTGTTTGTGAGGGGGACACCTTTTGCCCCATAAATGATTGCAAAATATTCAACCCTCTAAGCAGGGGTGTCATCCCCCAACGTTTTTCAAATGGGAAGGGGGGGTCAAGAGGCGCCGCAATGAAAAGAGCTTTCTATTCTCTATAGTTCCCCTATCAGGGGAACTATAGAGAATACAAAGTCATTGAGAAAATATGAAGGATTGAAATTTGAAAAGTTTTTTTAAACATTTGTCAGAGTAAATGATAAGGATAAATTGCTTCGACCAATTTGAGGTTTTTTCTTAGTATTTTTAGATGTTTAAGCATTTTTTCACTTGCCACAAGGTTGAACGAGCAGGTGCGGTAGTTGCTAGATAGCTGTTCTGTGACTTGTACGTTGAAGTTCTTCTCAATATCGTTAAACTGACCTGCAATAGAATTTCCAAAAATACCAGCCCACACGTTCAATTCCCTAGGGCTTTGTGTGTGCACCTCGTGAAAAATCCTGGGGTTGTCCTCAGCCCAGTACCGACAGTTGTGCCGATTAACTACACCGTTCAAAAAGAAAGTACACTCATCCAAAAAACACACATTAAATAGGAAATTATTATCATTCGCCACTCGTTCACTCATAGTTCCACAAAATTGCAAGCGACGATCAAAATCGTCTTTGTTGAGTTCTTGTACCAACTGAATTTTGTACGGGTGGAACTTGTGTTTTTTTAATATCCTTTGGACACTTGTACGATTCACGCCGCACAGTAGGCAATATGTCCAAACCAAGTTGCAAAAAATAACATCCACAGTTAGCATTTATGGCAATAACATTAAATCGGAAACATATTAGTTAAGAGGAAACCACATAAAACTAACAAAAAAAAACATATTCGGAGTGTCTTTCGAGGGGTTGTAAAACGAACTTTGCGCAAAACCTACATTTTCAGTTAATTTGTGTCCAATAACTGCCTTTTTTCTACAATTTTTTAAATAGTAGGCGTTGCATTCAAGTGACACAGTATTATAACAATTGAATCGGTCGACCTTAGCTTGCTGTCAATAATTATTGTGAAATTGTCATAATGTGTTTTACGTAGATTCCCGGTTGCGGTAAATTTAATGTCAAGGTAAGTAAAAAGTATCTTTTATTTTGATTTTTGGATAAAAACTAGGTAAAGGTCAAAGTAGAACATAATCATTTAAGGTTTTTTGATAGTGGCATATATTCTATCTTAGAAAAGTTAAGTCAAAAAATCGCAAAAATCGCAACATTAAACTTATTGGAAGCGTATGTCTCAATGCGTATGTGTATAGTAAGATCCTTTATGTGGATACTTCTCATAAATTAATTGTTATAGTAGCTAGAGAAGAACTTGAAATATAGTTACGTAATTTTTCTCAAGATTTCCGAAGAGGTATGTCATAAATGTCAAATGACATTTTTTTAAAAATTGACAAATTTTGACAGTACCTAATTTTTTAAATTAAATGAAATTGATTTTTCTTCAGATTTAAAAATGTGCACTTCGTGACCATTGCTTCCAGCTGTTATAAAACAAAATATCAGTAAATAGTAGGTGGTAAAATAAAATTTAGATATTTTTAATAGGTATAAGTTCTGTTATTTTCGAAATCGTCATTGTTTAATTCTCAGAATATTGTTACTTATTTAAAATATAATAATAAAATATTGTTCACATATTATCTGGTATTATTAGAAACCCAACTTATTCAAATGACAAAAATGTTCGATTGGATTAGTATACTTAAGGTTTTCTTTTATACATTGACACCCCCTTTATCTTTTTTATTTGACGTTTTCGAAAACTGTCTCAGATGAAAGTGGTTTTGAATAAATTTGCCAAAAAAGTCTATTTCGCATATCCAAAGTGCTTCAATAAGTCTAGGCGTGGTTCAACTATCTTATTTCAAATCAGGTATAGGCTATACTACATAAAAGTAGTTAGGATTTTTAGGAGAAAATAAAAATCAAATAAAAAATTGGGTACTAATTTGAAATAAGAAAGTTGGGCCACGTACAGGATTTCTAAGGCACCCTGTATATGCAAAGAAGACTGTTTTTAAAAATGTATTCGAGACAATTAAACTTTTATTCAAGACACTTTTTTCGAAAACGTCGAATAAAAAAGATACAAAGGATGTCAATATATATACCTAACCTAACAAACCCTGTATATACCGGAGGAGTAATAATTGCTCAATATTAGTCTGTTTCATCTTGGCTCTGCCAAAAATCGTAAAATTTAGTTAAATGTAAAATATTCTTACCGCATTTTGGTAGCTGTATTAGTCAAAAGATGATTTTTCCATTTTATGAATCCCCCCACCACCCCCAACCACTCTTCAAGTCAGCCAAAACTAACTGGGTTCACGGGCTACTGGCATAGAATGTTTTTACCAAATTTGAATGAAATCGTACAATAAAATAATTTTTGCCACATAGTTCTGGATTTTTGCCCACTGTGCGCCGGTCTCATTGGCTAATTTTCTTATACTCAGCGTACTTACCATGGCAACTTGGCCCAATACGAATACCTCCATAGCTTCTAACAAAATTGACGTGTTTTGAAATTTTCTGAAAAAAAATTTACTCTGGCCGTTATGCCTTGCGGAACGTTTTCGATGGGCCACTCTGTATTATAAATGAACAATACATGTGCCAATTTTATTGTTACATAAGTTAATACCTAACATTACCTTAGCACACTATAAAATACCCAGGAAAAATACAGTATTCAAATTAAAAGTTTATTATTACAATTTTCCCATTACAATTAAATCAGTTAAAAATATATAACAGCAACATAAGTATGCTCTAAGAACAGCATTACAAATCTTATTATATCAACATTTCTTTGAATTATTTTTTCGTTCTAATCATCATTCATCTCCACTCCCTTCATGAAGATACAAATCGATATTATCCACACACTTCTCCACAATTTTGGACACCATCGTTGTAAGACTCTCCGATTTAACAGAAGGAGGCAATCTGAAACCAGGCAGTATATCTTCATAGTGCAAATACGGATTCCTGTAAGTCGTCATCCAGTCCAAATACCTCAAAAGCTTCTTCCTTCTTTCGTTGAACAACTCAAATCCATCATCATAGTACTTCTTCAAGTTCGGATCCAACTTATCGTTTTTGGACTTCATGAAAAGTCCCAAACCGATAAGCGCAGAACATTTTACGTCCAGGCCTGGTATAATGGGACGTCTTTTCGATATGAAACAGACAGCTTCGATCACTTCTTTGGCTATGTATTGCTCGAGCATCCCTAAGATCGGAAGTTCTTTGTAGTTCAAGTCAGAATAAACCGGAGCCCTGAACTCTATACCAAACATAAACTGCTGAGGATTTTTCAGGAATGTGTTCAAACATTCTTTCTTATCGAAGAGGTAGATTTTGTCGTTGTACAGCACGGCGAATTTAAGTTTTCCTTTGGTAATAATCACTTGAGTTTTGTAACAAACTGTACAAGATCCATTTTCGTATACATTATCTGGCATAGTACCATGACATGCCACTACTTTTGGCAAACTAGCCGGCATGTTGTTATTATTGTATGGAGGAAGATACAATTCGGGCGTTGCCAGAAAAAAATCTACGTGATCGTTACAGATCCAGTAAAAATTGAATCTGAACTGTATCAAGCCAGTTCTATCAGGAGGATCACCTCCTGATACCAGCTTGTTTGAGAAATGCAGGCACAAAGGGCAGTAATGACGATAGGAAGTTTGCCTATCCAAGAACTCCAAGGGAGTCACTAGCATATTTCCTAACCTCAAAGGCCAATCTTCCGAGATGTGTTGGTGATAGTGCTTAATCTCCCAGAAGGTGCTTTCTAGGTAACCCTTACTCTCGTGGTACAGCCTCCATTTTGATGGATCAATCGGAAGCGATACTGTAGCTTGGTACTCTCTATCAAACCATTCTCTAAAGCATCCACTATCTTTACTCCACAACTCGTAGAAACGCAGTACAAAACATTTACTGTATTTCGGAAAAGGTGACTTTGGAATATCCTGGGATAAACATTCTAAAACTTGTTCGGAAGAAGCTTTCAAGTCGATGACAATGTTGGGCAAAAGATCCAGAAAAGCCAAGTGCTTTACCTCGTTCAAAGAATTAGGGAATCCATCAAAAACTATCCCATGACTTGCGGCTTTCTTATCAAAACTTGCTGCCTGTACACTCTTAATAACCATCTCATCAGTTAGTTCCCATCCTTTCCTTAGTACAGTTTCCATATTCCTCCCCAAATCACATTCGGGCAAGTACTTTAAAACGTACCTCACAGCATTTCCTCTAGTAATCAGACTAAACCCGTATCTATCCTGGAATCTTTTTGCCAGAAGAGTTTTACCGCACTTCGGAGGACCCGTTACAGCAATCTTGAAAGGTATTAAAGGAAATTTGAACTCTTTATTAATATACTTTAGGACATTATTCATAAATTGCTCCTTGTTTTGATCTATCAAATAATAAATATAGTTCCTGTATACAACAGGATATAACGTGTTCCTTTCTTCGGCTAGCGAGTACATCTGTAATGGATCGATGTTGTTGTAATACTGAACTGGACAGGTTTTTCCGAATTTACTCAGAAAAAAATAACCTGAAGATAACAGTCTATCGGCTAGCTCCAAACTGACTTCGTAACAATGCTCTAGATATGAATCGTTCCTGAATTTTATGGGTTCTAATAGCAAATAGCTGGCTATAATTGTCTTGTTGAAGTTATCCAAGTTTAAAGATATTTCACTGAATGGGATTTCCTCTAACAAAGCTTTTTCTTTAATTTTCTTGATGAGTTCGATATCCTTTTGGACGGTGTTAAAAATCAAAGGCTTGGTCTTCGACACGAAGGCCTCAGGGTTCTCTGTTGGAACGTCAAATTTTAAAGGAGGAAATTCTTCATCCAAAACTTTATTTACTTCTTCCAAGTCTTTCTGTTCTGCCACAGAATCGTAACTGATTTGCGAGTTGGTTTCACTTTGTTCTGCATCGACTTGTTTGTCTTGGATTCGTTCTGAATATCTTTTTTCGCGTTTTTCCTCGATTAGAATGTTGAAACTTATTGCCCTATCTTCTCTCCATTTTTCCAGAGCTTTGCTATGTCTTAACTCGATTTCTTGCCGATGTTTGTCCATGGATTCTTGCCAGGATTTCAGTGCTCTATCGATAAATTTCGTTTTCAAGTAAGATTCGGTCGAGGAAGGGTATATGATCATGTCAGGGATCAATTTTTTGCGTACCATAAACTCAATATCACGCGGAGTTCTAGGAAAATCATCTAGAACGAAACCTTTTGACTTGTACGGTTCTCCGAGCCAGTATTTGGCTAACTTTTCGACCGCGTTTTCAGGCAGAGGTACGTTACCTTGTAAGTAATTGTAGAGAACTGAATTTCGATCGGTAGCTAACTCGTTAAGCGTTTGGTTAGCGCGAACATTAAAGCATGTCTTCAAAAAATGTTCATAGCTTACATAAATTAACCCATAATTATTAGAAATTTCTTTGGCCAAGGTTGTTTTACCACATCCAGTAACACCAACAATACAAATCCTGGGAGGTGGGCATTTCTTAACGGAAAACGGTAAAAATTCCCAAGGATCTTTCAAAAACTTCTTGTAGTCTTTCTCGGTAGCTAGAAGGTAATCGTGGTCGTTGTAGGTCAGAGCAAACTGTCTTTTCCCTTTCCACAGAACCCAATTTTCGTGAAGTGTCACTGGACAGTAATGCCAAGTGTCTCCATAAGTCCAGATATTTTCTCTATTTTCTTCAGGTTTTGTCCCGACGATTGTAGTGTCTTCCGTCTCCAAATCACTGCCTTTTTCCTCTAAATCATTTGGTACATTACTTTTCTCTACAATCTTCCTAGGATGAGCTCGCGCTCTGTACTTATCCTGTATATTTTTGATCACCTCCCGAAACAATTGAGGAAAAGACTTGTTCGCAACGTTAATTTCTCTAGGAGTAATATTGTGCTGAAGATAAAATTCCTTAATCTTCTCCCAGTCGTTTTGAAAACCGAGCAAATCATTCTTGTATTCTTCTAGTCTTTGAGAGGGATCAGGTTTATTAGTTTCGGGATTAAAATAAAAACTTCCCGAATCTAGAAGGTTGTCTAGAACGTCACGGATGAAAGATTCTTCAGTACTTTTAGTTGAAGATATAGACGGGCTGCGATGGGCCGCATCAGGAAGTCCGATATCTTCAAAAAACTGTTTGTACTCTCTAAAATACGTACTGATACCATCGGCGAATCGTTTTTCCAGGAACTGACCGTCAGGATCTGTCAGAACGATCACTTCATCGCCGATATACAGCGGGAAAAACCCGTCTATCACTTCCAGGTTGCACATCATCCCGTCGATGATCCAACCACCGTTTCCCAGGTCTTTCGATTTGTATTTCTCCTCGGCTATTCTAAAATGTCTCATAAAAGTCTCCAAGAGCCCGCCAGCGTTGAGCTGGATGTTTCCAAGACCAGCCCTGGCCAGCGAATCGTTTACGTACTCTTTAACAAAATCGTCCTTAGCTGTCGCAGGTTTAACGGCTTGTTTATGAGCCAATTCGAGAGGCAGGTATTGAAGCAACTTCTTCCTTTCGGTCAGGAGACTTCTCCAAGTTTGTTCGTCCATTTTATAAATCGGTACGCCCAAATTGAAAAGTTCCTCGCGTATTTTTGCTAGAGCAGTCGCAAATTCCGTGTCCTCCAACATGTCTTGAGTGGTTATTCGTTTCATTTGCATGGGAAAGGAGGAGATTTCAAAGTGTTCTACTTTCTCCTCTTTGGCGATTTCGTCGAAAATATTCACCATCTCCTCTAAGTAACCTATAGTGGTTTTTAACCATTCCCTGATCTGATCGATGCGTTCCTTTTCGCGTTCCTCCGCCTCAATCTTCCTTTGTTCGTTGAGTAGAGCTATAGCTTCGGCGGTGGCCAGTTTCTTGATCTTACTCAGATACTCATCCTGCCTCTCGTCCAAATAAGCCTTCATGATTTTTACCGTAGACAACACAGTGCCATCAAAGTAATAGGCTAAGCACTGTGCTAAAGCACTTCGTCCACTAAGCCTTGGTCCAAAAATGACAATTTTGCAGCTGGTTTTTGGAAAAGGAGGTAGCAAAAAGGGTCTGGGGTTGCTATAGAATTTTAAATAAGATTCGTTATCGAACAGAAAGAATATTTTATTCATAAATTGAACAGCATATTTAACGTTACCTTCTCTAATATATCCTGACCTCATAGAGACAGGACATAGACTCTCCCAATCGCTCCAAGACCACATGTATTTGTTACTTGGAGCTTGGACCTTTCTCAGTTGTTCAAAGTATTCTTTGGGAGTTAGGCGTTTCTCTTCATTTTGTTCCTTTTGTTCTTCTTCGTCTTCCGGTCCCAATAACGTTTCTTGAGTGGTATAAAACGCCTCTAGCTCCGTATCGCTTAATTTGTTCGGTATAAGAACCTTCTGGACGTTCATGATGTTTAACCTCGATTTGATAATGTTCAGCATGCGTGTAACAGTAGTCCGACCGTCTACTTTTATAAAATACTCTGCGCTGTGAGCCAGGACTCTGCTCTTTATGAACTGTAAAGCAGTGTAGTGGTAGTAATCAAGTTGAGCACTGACGCTAGCATTAAAATCACAAGGTATCTTCACCAAGTCTTTTAGTCTGAAGAGGTCGACTTCAAAAGAATCCATATCGATGAAATCTTGTTCAAATTCAGAATTATTTCCTGAGAGAAACATGTTTCGATAAAGTTTGTTATAGTGTTGTTTCTGAAGGTTGATGGTTTCCCTAGTTTGGAGGTAAAATCGGTTAGAATCTCTTCTATTCACAACATCTATACTTCCGCAGTAGACGTTTATGATAAAGAAAGGACCGTTAAGGAGATCAAACAGAAAATCAAGCTGTTTCTCGTAATCTCTGCCAATTTTCAGATAATTTTCTGAAAAAGTTTCCTCGATCTTTTCATTTTCTTTATGTTTCGCCTGACTAACATTATCCTTAGAGTTTGCGTCCAGTATATGAGTGTCACTGGGTAAACAACAAATGTTTGTAACGGTCTTACAAATGCTCTGGAATATGTCTTTAGCGGTAAAAATGGCCGATTCAGTAGATATAGGCTCCTCTTCGTACAAATCGTTCGGAATTACTGGTAATCCACAGATAACAAAGCCTCTATGTAAGCAAATATCGGAACCAACACGTTTTTTGAGTAGGTTCAGGATGATATCTATGCCTATGGACCTACCGTTTCGGAGATTGAACTCTATACATTCACCAGCACAACTCTTAGACTCTACTTCTTCTTCTATAAGAGTTTGCGGGTCTATGTAGACACATTTCCAATATTCTGCCAAACGTTTACCCAATTCCTTCTGACCTATGTCGGGTTTTCCCATAATAATAAACGAAACAGGTATAGACTCCAAGTATCTGACTTGAGCTTCGCGTTCAGTATATGCGTCATAAGTATGCGTTGAAGGGCCCTTTTTCTGTAAACATTTGTCAACGATTTCGGGTGTGGCCAGGAGATAGTTGACTTTGTTGAAAGGATCGATATCTTCGACGTGGTTGTAGTAAGAATTGGCGCCAGGGTACCAGTGTTCGTTGGTACGAGATGGTTGTTCTTTGTCATTGACTTTGGCAAAATCGATATTCTTGAGGTCTTGAGCTCTGACTAGGAAGGATTGGTCTATGATTACGTCGTTGAAAAATTGGTCTTGGGGTAAATAATAGTCGGTTTTGTTTGGTTTGATGTTGCACATTTTCGTTTTTGGTTATCAATGTCAGAAAATGTCAGGTGATGTTTAATTTCATTAAGGTTGATTCACACGCGTATTATAATTGTAACAGAGTATACAGTCACATATTTATGTGCTGTTCAGTGAAAATTAAATATTTAAAAAATTACTAGGTATTTCAGTCCTTATTCTCACTTTTTTGGCCGAATAAGAAAGTAACTGAACCTCTCCCAAAATTGATTTTTAATCTTTTTTCGTAGTAGCTTTAATACTGTATCAAATTGATATACAGGGTGGTCCGAACTGTATTCCGGATACAACGGCAGCATATTCTGCAGATAAAAATATGTAAAAAAGTTCGTATAAATGTATGTCCTAAATAAAATGCTTAGTTTCAGAGATACAGGGTGTAGAAGTTTCATTTTTATTTCGGTTTTTTTCTAAATAACGTCAATATTTGGATGAAAATTGGTGTCTGGGAGTTTTCTGACATGAGAAATTTGATTTTGATGTCAATATGACTCCTACTTGTAGAGGGCGCCACCTACATATTTTTTAACTGGTTTGAAAAGTAATAACTTTTCGTCCGTACCTGTATAAAACTACTGAGTAAAAAAATATACATTTACGATGTTTTTTACGTAAAAAACCTCTCAAAAATCGAAATTATCAATACCTGTCGTCATTGACATAAATTATACATGTTGACTAAATAGTTATTAGACTGAAGTCATAAATTTGAAATCTTTTTGTGCTAAAAGTTACTGTAGTACTAGTAAGAAACTATTTCATCATCACTTTTTTGGAAGAAAAATTTATGATTAATTTAAAAAAAAAATAAAAAGTTCCCAAATTTATCATTTCAGTCAAATAACTCTCCACTCAACACGTTCATTTTATGTCAATAATGACATGTATTGGCCATTTCCATTCTAACTATCTTGAGAACAGTTGCTCGTAGCGATTTTTACCAAGAGACATTTTTTGCGTAAAAAATCACGAAAATTATATTGTTTCACTTTGTAGTTTTATACAGGTATGGACGAAAAGATATTACTTTTCAAAATCATTAAAACACATGTAGGTGGCGCCCCCTACAAATAGGAGTCCTATTGACATCAAAATCAAATTTCTCATGTCAAAAAACTCCCAAACACCAATTTTCATTAAAATATTAACGCTACTTTTGAAATGTGTAGAAACAGTGTTGTTCATTTCTACACCCTGTATCTCCGAAACAAATCATTTTACGGTTATACGAACTTTTTTACCTATTTTTATCTGCAGAATATGCTGCCGAAGTTTCTGGAATACAGTTTGGACCACACTGTATACCGGGTCAAAACAATGCATAGTTAGTCTTATTTTTTTATACCGTATGATCGAAAAAAAAACGGCGCCAGAGATGGCTACGAAATGAAGATCGCTGTCATTTTATATGTAAAATTATTTGGGGAATATCATCGATCGACATTTCCAAGCCAACTGGACGCCGGTTTTTTTTTCGATCATACGGTAAAATACCTCTATATGTTTTTTTGTTCAAAAAATCTAAACCCTAATCTCATTTATGAATAAAATTATACACACCCTATAAGAGTTATTACCGTTATTTAATACAGGTGAAAAAAATAATTACATTAATACTTATCTCATCCGAACTACTATTTAGTATATATTTATAAAAGGTCCAAGAAACCAAATTATATATTAAGGAATATTGTTAACCTGTACTTCACAACTGTTAAACAACACTTACACAAAATTAATAAGCTTGTTTTTGTGTATTTCCCAAAGTAGAACCGCTGTTTTCCATAATTACAGTTAAAAACTAGAATTTCCCAATGTTTCACTTGATGATATCTCACCCGATAATCATTTCCAACAAAGGCCGCATCAATTTTCTCTATATCTCAAGCTAACTATTAATAGTTTATTGAAAATTACATATACTTTAGTTTTAACCTATTTTACTAATCAATATCCACATTAATTATTAATCAATTAGATAAAGGACGTGCATTATTATTATCTTAAATATTGGTTAGGAGAAACAAAGGAATATAGGTGGATAATTGTGGCTATATTTGTCGATAGTGAATTCCGAAAATACAAGAATTAAACATTACAATATTAATATTATTAATATTAACAGAACGTCAACGGTTTTTATACAGGGTTGCTCACCACATACGACACGGAGTATTGTAGCTAAACCATTAGATTTTTACAAATTGTAAGTTTTGGGTTCGTTGAACGACTTTGCACTTTGCATTTGGGGCACGAACGTGGTTCGTGCCGCAAATAAGTAAAAAATATTATAGTTGTATTTTTTTAAATGGGACACCCTGACGATTGAAATAAAGATAAATTTGATTAAGGTTTATCACACTTAAACCTTACCGTTTTTGAAATATTTTCAATTTTATGAAATTACAGTAAAAACACTAAGGCTTCATTTCTCCAAGGGTATCAGAGTTTTTAATACTAATTATTATTTACTGAAGTTTATTCTTATTATAACAAAATACTACCTTATACAAAGTGTCTAAAAATTTATATTAAATAATTACCAGATTTAAACGGCAATAACTTGTTTAATTTAAATGGAACACCCTGTATATTTTACGAGAATCACATGCACAATTTAATTGTCTATCAAATTGTTTTATACAATTTTTTACCTATCTCTTCAAGTTTTCGTAGAAAATGCATTTTCTTATAATTTAGACCTCATTTATCACTATACCCATGGAATATTGACATTTTAGATTATTTTTAAAGATGTAACAAATTTTAAAAGAATACAGACACTAATAATGTCGATATAGTTTGATTATTTCATTAAAAAATAAAAAAAAACTGTTTAAATAGTTTTTGTTAAAGAGGACCAATTAATATGATCCCAGTAGTAAAATACATCAACTGACTGTTTACGTTGATTAACGATAATTGCTCCAAATGCTAAAAAACTGAATTTTGTATGTGTAGCAGACATTTTGCGGTAAAAAGGAACACCTTATAAATTTTATTTCATTTTTTGACGAATACTTTATAACACAGACGTTCATTTTCATAACTTATTACTATATTGAGTTAAATCCACATTTATTTAGAATAATTTATTTATTCAAACAATTAAGTTAGGTTAGGTTAGGTAATTAACTAATTTTTGTATATTTAATTGGTATACAGTTTTAGAAAGATTTAAATGGTTTTCTTTTTGTAAACAAATGAGCTTGCAATATTATTATTTTTACCACCAACAAATCAAACATTTTGTACATATGTATTTTGCTTTAAAAAATCTAAAATGTCAATATTCCATGGGTATAGTGATAAATGAGGTCTAAATTATAAGAAAATGCATTTTCTACGAAAACTTGAAAAGATAGATAAAATATGGTATAATAAAATTTGATAGACAATTAAGTTGTGTATCTGATTCTCGAAAAATATACAGGGTTAATAAGTTATTTAAAGTTTAAATCTGGTAATTATTTAATATAATTTTTTAGACACTCAGTATAAGGTAGTATTTAGTTTATTATTGCAACACAATATCCGATCAATAAGTAAACTTCAGTAAATAATTAGTATTAAAATCTTTGATACCCTTGGAGAAATGAAGCCTTAAAATTTTGACTGCAATTTCATAAAATTTAAAATATTTCAAAAACGGTAAGATTTAAGTGTGATAAACCTTATTCAAATTTGCCTTCATTTCAATCACAGAATCTAAAAATAGAATAATATACAGGGTGTTCCAGTTAAAAAAATACAACTATAATATTTTTTACTTATTTGGGACACTCTGTATCTTGTAAATATAATTTTAAATTGTACCTCTAATAGTCTTGACATCCGCCACAGAGGTATAGCCATTTCTTATTAAAATATTAATTAAAAAAATACTTATTTTCATTAGGGTCTATGGTGCAGAATGGGAAATTCTCCGCAGCTGCCGAGCTTTTCGTCAGAACATTGAAGAAAGTGGATTTTCCCACGTTGGGCACTCCCACAATACCAACTTTGAGATTGGTACCAACTCGGCCTATCATAGGCTTTCTCTCGGGTTCTTGCACTTTCTTCGGCGGCATTCTGAAAATTATTATTATTTGTTATAATATTTTTATAAAAATTATAAAATACAGCAAACTCTCGAGTATCTCGAGCTAATGTGAGCTGTACCTAGCTCGAATAATCCGGATTTTTAAAATTTTGCTTTTTATATATTTTTTAATATGAATTACTTATTTGAAGAGTGGAAATACCAAAGGGAGTAAGTTGGAGTAAGTGCCAAATTTTTATTAGAAACGTAATAAATACTATGCTGCATGTCCTAACAAAAGTTACAAGTGCCAAGCGAAAGCGTCTATTGTTTATGTACAGGGTGGGTCAAATTCGACGCTTTTAAATGGAAACACCCTTTTCTACAGGAGATAGACGAAAACTAATATCGGTGTCTGGAGCTCAATTTTCATCAAAAACGTGATGGTGAAAACCGCACATCAATATCTGTTACCGTTTCGGAGTTACGGGACGTTTTTCAAAAATGTGCATTTTTAACAAATCGCTGTAACTTTTTTGCTATGGAAAATTTTGTATTTCTATGAAAACATTTCCAAAGCATCTTTTTACATAGAATTTAATGGTTTAAGTATAATTTTTTTAAAATTAATATTTTAAGAGTTATCAACAGAAAAATTGATTTTTTATTTGGGACACCCTCTACATTTTTAATTAACTGAAAAGAATTTAAAATTACCTTTCCACAAATATAGCACACTTGATATTTTCTTATAATCCCCTTCGAAATACAGAATTTTTAAAAGTTCGCCACTTTCAACTAGTAGGCTTTGGACCCCTTATTGATGATATGCCCTTAATGGAATTCGAAAACATATTTTTTCAGCAAGACGATGCACGCTGAAGTTATCAGTAAATTTTTGCAGCCAATTTCAAGAATAATTGTATAGCTAACCAAGATCCCAGCCATTGACCGTCGAGACCGCCTGACTTAGTGCCCATGGATCTAATCCTATGGATATATTTGCGGAAGAATAAAGGTTCCTTATTCTTCCGTATAATCTAGACAAGAATTAGAAATACTTAGCAGTTATGAGAGGGTACCTTTCACCCCCACTGAGTTAATGAATTCCGCGATGAATGTTCAAAAACGGTCCCGTCTGTCCATAACAGAAGACAGTAGATATGTCGAACACTTGTAGCAAAATCTCATATCTTGGTTTGCTATTCATTTTTATTGTTATTAGATATAGTTTAAATGTGTTGATGTTGGTTAAATATATTTTAAATTGTTATAAAGTTCTGCATCTCTCATAGCAAATATTATTTTCGTTTTAATTGATGCTCACAGCTAGAATTTTTTTGCATTACAGCCGGTGCCGTTCAAAGCCTACTTATTTAAAGCGAATTTTTATATACTCTATATCTCGAAGAGGAGTCGAGCAAAATATCAAGTGTGTTATATTTTTGGAAAGGTAATTTTAAATTATTTTCAATAAATTAAAAATATACATGGTGTCCCATATAAAAAATGAAATTTTCTGTTGATAATTCTTAAATTATTAATGTTTAAAGAATTATATTTAAACCATTAAATTCTACGTAAAAAGGTGCTTTGGAAATGTTTTCACTTATAATATCACAAGAGCTTAAATTATTTTCGGAAATTTTTTTGAGAGCACGAATATTTTGAAAATTATCCCGAGTCGAAGACGAGGGATAATTTTCTAAAATATTCGTGCCCGAAAAAAATTTCAGAATAATTAAGCTTGCGTGTATTCGGTAAGAAAATTTCACACCTAAATTTGAAAAAAAATATTAATCCAACATGACATTTTAAAATAATTTCAATTTGTTAAGTTGGCCAAGGTATTGCTAAAACTCAAATGGGTAATATTTCAATATATAGACATTGTAGTTCATTCACATTATGATTGTAGATCTTATGATTACCTTTTCAACTGTCAAAAAATTTCCACTAAAGTTTCGTGGCGCCTCGAAAAAATTTCCGAAAATTTTTTCAGTTGCCATGGTAACTAGTCAACATTAAAGCATGTTATTGGTTGAAAAGTAGAGGTGTGAAATTTTCATAAAAATACAAAATTTTCCATAGCAAAAAAGTTACAGCGATTTGTTAAAAATGCATATTTTTGAAAAACACCCCGTAACTCCGAAACGGTAACAGATATCGATATGCGGTTTTCACCATCATGTTTTTGACAAAAATTGAGCTCCAGACACCGATATTAGTTTTCGTCTATCTCCTATAGAAAAGGGTGTTTCCATTTAAAAGCGTCGAATTTGACCCACCCTGTACATATATTATTTGTATTTTAAAAGTAATTTTAAAAATTTATTAGTTTAAGTTCTACTGTGTTTTTCTCATTTATCTGGAAAAAATAATTTTGGCACTTACCCCCTTTGGTATTTCCACTCTTCATTTAATAATAAATGAAAATACCTATGTTAACATATTTTATTAATAATTTTGAGCAACAAAAGAACAACTAAAGTCAGTTTGTGTTGCTTCGGAAATTCTGGGATCCTCCGTAATTCTCCGCAATTATTTAATTAAGATCCTCCGTAATTCAATTAAATCGGATTTCCAAATGAGGACTTATTTCCAATTAAAGTCGTATCCAAAATGGCTAAATCTTCGTAACTCTGTCCGATACCGTCACCAATATACAGGGTGTCCCAGGCTGAGCGTGCATTAGAAGTTTCTAGAGAACTACAATTAGATTGCAGTTTTCTTTCACAAGCAGCAACTTTCTTATTTTAAATTAGTACCCCCATTTTTTATGACATATTTAAATTCTCTATTAAAGTTTATGAATTTTTATGTCACACTCCAATACCTAACATTAACTGTTTTTGAGAAAAATAATATTTAAAATTTTGGTGCAAAAAAACTACCTGTCAAAAAAATTTGTATAGCATAAAAGTCAAATTTAGTAATTACCACGGCTATCTATTTCAAAAATTAAATTGTTTCAGTGTCATATAATATTGGCAGTAGCTGTCATGGAATCGAGAGATTAATAAATTATCATAAATCATTTTTTTTTCAAATGGAAACCCACTTTTTTATTTCACTAGTGAAAAGGTTTTTTAGTTCCTTACTTTTTGATTATACATGCTCCTATACCTAAAATAAATCGTTTTTAAGGTATTTAAGATTTAGTTCTAAAGCATATGTTTTTCTGGTTTTTAACCAGTAGCCTATGACGTTAAACGTCAAGCGATGTAAAACTATATCTGGCCATGTCAAATTGCCATTAGATATCACTAAAATACGAGATATATGCCCACGGAATATTGGGACACCCTGAGTTTTCTAGGACACATTTTTATAACTTTTACAGTTATTTTTCGATTAATAATGTTGTCATAATTTTAATCATTTGATTTAAATCATCCCAACCCTGAGTTTTCAACATGTAAACAAATAACTGCAGCTGAAAAACTTATATTCTCGGAAACAGCCCCCTATAAACTAGAGATTATAGAAAAGCGAACAAACAAACGTTTCTTTATTTTCGCATAATATCGAGGGGGTTTAAAATATTCAAATTTTACATTTTCCCGTAATAACCCACATTATGCGTCTGCAACTTAATTTCCACAAAATAGCAATTTTCAATCTGATACCGAAATTGTACAGTACGGCGTTTTTTCGCCGGAGCCCGGCGAGGCCGGCCGCAAAACAGCTCTAATAATCCGCTCCGGCCGCGACGCAACCCTCAATTTCGAATTTGCTAGCAATTCTACCAGTTCTTATTAATATAATTTGGCGTACGGCGGCCCTCGGGCCAACCGTATAGTTTCTTTCCAACATATAGTTTACAATTTTACCGATTTAATCAATAAAATTGTTGCCCGACGATAAAATACCGTTTATAAAGCGAAAAACCGGCCTCGCATTTGCATAGAAACGCCACCGTTCCGTCTGAATACGACCTTAGCCGCGGTTGGTTCGAAAAAGGTTCGAAACGCGGCTGAACGCTGCCTTAGTTCGTTCGAGCAGTACGCAACAGATGGCGGCACCGGTCGAAAATTTATTTCTTTTATTAATAAACCATATTTTCTACTGTAAATTCACAGAATTCAATTAGAATAACATAACAAACAACTTAAAAATACTAATCCACTAATACAAAACCGCCACAACTCTCTAAATTCGTTTAAAACACGATAAAAATAACTCTAACCTAGCAGAGGAAAATATCACAAGTAAACCAAAATTACCGGTAATATAACGCTTTTACAGACATATAAACTAACTAAATTAAATGTACAGCAAATCTACTTACTCAGATCGTATTTTTGAAGCACCAAACTATGAAATTCGAAGTAAAAACGTGCAATTCTCTTGAAATCAACACAGCTGAGAGGTTAAGTGACAGCTGGCGAGCTGGGATTTATGCCACAGATAAAAATTTTTGTGTGTTATGAAATAATGAGGGAAAAATATGATTTAAAATGAGGCAAAAGAGTAGACAGAGATTGATTAAATAAGCTTTTATTATAAATATGTTAATCATATTAATTATATTGTAATATGCATATTAAAAAATTTAATTCCAATTGCAATTATTTTATATAAAGTAATATTTTTAAATATATATTCTGATTTTTACAATAAACTTAAAACAGAATAAATACAAAATATTCTGGAGGATGATAATATACAAGGCGCTATATATGAGGAGTTAAATGAAGTGAACTGGATCCTAGAAGATAATTATGGAGAAAATGAGAGTTAAAGTTTTTTAATGTTACTTAATTACAATAAAACAAGCTGGAAAACTTGACACAATGCTTTATTATATTTTAAATTGTATAATTGCAAACTGAAGTAACTCAAAATACAACTGTGGTAATTTTTAAGGATGTTTGTTTATACTTTTTGGACTTGAACCATTTTATCTCTGAAAATATTTGAAATTTTAGATATAAATTGGTTCATCGGTACATTCTTCTTTGTCATTAAGGGATTTGTTGATTTCACATTGCCTATTAATAGTGTTTTCTTCGATTTTTATAAAAATTATGGTATATAGGCGATATAAAGGGAAGTAAATCTTTCATGTGTTGCCTTTTAGAGTGTGTTACGTTACGTCTATTTGATGATAAGATTTTTCTTTCTCGTGCAGTTTTATATGCAGTTCAACAACATATGTCAGATATTTAAGTATTTGTATTTGTAAGAAAAACAGCTTATAACTTATTAATGTATTAGTAATAGTAAAAATAATAATAAATCAAACTATACTTTCAGAATATCCATCCATCTATTAAACATTACAAGAAGCAGTTAGCGATGGGATATATACCAACCATCTGGAGAAGAGCGAAAGTCATCTTCATACCCAAAATAGGCAAAAAACTGACTGGGCTAACCCCAAATCATTTAGGCCTATTAGTCTCACATCGTTCATATTAAAAACGATGGCTAAAGTAGTGGACATCCATATTAGAGTAAATCATCTACAGGTTAAACCACTGCACGATAGTCAGCATGCATATAGAGCGGGCAGATCCACAGAAACTGCTCTGTACCAGTTAACTGAGCTAATACAGGCAAGCCTGGATAGCAAAGAAACAGCACTTTGTGCCTTCTTGGACAGCTGGCGAGCTGGGATTTATGCCACAGATAAAAATTTTCGTGTGTTATGAAATAATGAGGGAAAAATATGATTTAAAATGAGGCAAAAGAGTAGACAGAGATTGATTAAATAAGCTTTTATTGTAAATATGTTAATCATATTAATTATATTGTAATATGCATATTAAAAAATTTAATTCCAATTGCAATTATTTTATATAAAGTTATATTTTTAAATATATATTCTGATTTTTACAATAAACTTAAAACAGAATAAATACAAAATATTCTGGAGGATGGTAATAGGGCATCGCCTCGGTTGATTATACGAAAACGGAAAGATGTAGAAACAAAATATTTTATGGGTATATGTGGGGAGGCAATGTGCACAATTTAAAATTATTTTGAAATATACAAGGTGTTTCGGAACTAAGATCCATACCAAAGTTATATTTTTTCTTATGGAACACCCGGTATTTTATCTCATTTCTGGATTCTTGGGCCCAAAAAAAGGTATTTATTATAAGGGTTAAATATGTTTAAAATCTTTGGTTTTTGAGATATTTAAAGATATTTAAATTTGCATGCTACAATAGAATAGATTATTAACACCTTGTACATTATACTTTTCAGAGTTAATTCTTGTGCTGACCTTTAAGCCAGAGAAATAAACTTTACTGAAAAATTTGATTGCTTTGTTTAATATATACAGGGGTATCAAAAATTGCTGGTCTATTTTAAATATTTATTTTACATAAAAACTTCGTTATTTCAAATACAACACCCTGTATTTTTCTAAGTATATCGAAGCAGGTTTAAATGCTCTTTCAAACTATATTAGCGTTTCCTATACCTATCTAGTTCAGATTTTGAATAAAGAGCAATTTTTCAATAAAATGGCAACCAAGATGGCTGATTTCTAGTGACAGTTATAGTAGCTATTTTGAAAATCAAAATTAGTTTATGGACTTTATTTAAATTTATAGCAATTTATTTTTGTTTAATTTGCTCACAGTAGTTTTTTAAATAATATTTATTAAATATGTATTTATTATTCTATCAAGAAAAACGAAGAAGTAGTTCTTTCATTTATTTTACGTTCACTTGTAGATAAGTACCTATATGGATTTTCTATAAAAGAGCCAATTACGGCAAATTCATTTTCTAACAACAGGTTTCTGCATACTAGGTTTTTATATACCGTTTTTATATACTTAATTCTTTAGTTTCTTTTATTATCAATCATGGCCTACTAATAAATATGATGTTTTAAAAAAACTTTTAAATATTGCAGTAAATAGTGAAAATAAATATAGAGTTATATATATTTTTGAGAAGCTTATGGCAAGACAGATCATATGATTTATAAATATACAGGGTGTTCCATTTAAAAAAACATAACTTTAGTTCATATTTTCAAAAATATTTTTTAGGTAGAAAAACAGACTACGCCACTGTATTCTACGTAAAAAGTTCTACAATTAACAATTTTCACCTTCTCGATAGCTTTAACAATAACAGAGATACAGGAGGTGTCCCAAATTGCAGAAATTTCAAAAAGACCCTGTAGCTCGGAAACGAAGAGGGCTATGAAAATTTTGTTTACGGCATCTTCCGTTTGACAAAAAAGTGAGACAGGTTTGTGCAAACCGCACCCTTCTATCTTCACTAATAACGGAGATACCGTATGATTTCAACCAAAATGGGGCACCCTGTACAGGGTGTTAATAAAAAGATTTTAAACATATTAAACCCTTATAATAAATAACTTTTTTTGGGTCCAAGAATCCAAAAATAAAATAAAATACCGGGTGTTCCATAAGAAAAAATATAACTTTGGTATGGATCTTAGTTCTGAAACACCCTGTACATTTCAAAATAATTTTAAATTGTGCACATTCCCTCCCCACATGTACCCATAAAATATTTTGTTTCTACATCTTTCCGTTGTTGTATAATCAACCGAGGCGAATGAGGTGCGCCACCCTGTATAATTTTTTTTTAAATGTGAATTAAAAAATATTTTTTTATATATTTAGAGTATTTGAGAATTATTACTAACGTTATTTTAGTTTCTTGACAGCATGCGATGCGATCCTTTGCGCAGTCAAAAAAAAACATAAAAAATAATCTTAATGACACTTCTTACAAACTGATTTTTTTATTATTTCGATATACCTATTACTTCAACATTTCATATAAAATATTGTTATTGAAATATGAACCTTCTGATAGAACTAACGTACAAGACGTCTCGAATTACCTACTGACACCTTCATCCATGACGTGTATTTCCGAAAAACGACATCTAAAATAGAGTCTTTAAGATTTACAGGTCACGGGTATTATACGTTTTTGCGTGAAATAAGACGTTTCCATGCTCATTTCCGGTCGGCCTGTGACACAGAGACGAAACCGTTTGACTATTATTACGTTTAAATCGTAACCTAATATCGATACTTTATCGTCAAAAAATAACGAAAGAATCAGCCGACAAAGAGGCCATCGTCAGTGTTTCCTTCTTCTTGCGGAAGCGTCGACAATCGTTTTGCGGTGTGCAGAGGCGACCCGTGGATGCGTGTGTGCATTGTTGCAAATGGCAACAATAATTGCGGTTTTTGACGGACAATAAGTTGGGAACGACGCTTCCTGTTCTTGATGTCTTTATTATCACCAGTATGATAGATATATCTTTCTTGGGTTCGGTATCTTAACAGTTCTTGTAAGTAAAAGAATTAAAACTGTAGTACTGAGTCTGTGGTTGGTTCCTTGTGAAACTTCGTTGAAATATTACTCAAAACAATTATCGCATATTTGAATAAAAGTAATTATTACATGTATTATTACAGATGACATATGGAACAACATAAAACAAAACATTCTGAATGTTTCCAACGCTTTTCTGACACCAACAACGACAAAGAAAAACAAACCATGGATGACCGATGAGATACTCTCCCTCATGGAGGACAGAAGCATTACAAAAGTCGAACAACAACAACAAAGATACACCGAAATAAATAAAACCATTAAACAACAATGCCAACAAGCTAAAGAGAACTTGGTAATTGCAGAATGCCAAGAGGCGAAACGCATGCATGCTCTGCACGACTCTGTAAATTTTCATAGAAAACTCAAACAAATTACTGGCATCACAAAAAAAGCACCAATACCTGCCCTAAAGCATAATGGGAAATTGATATTAGACCCGGTAGATCTATGTAGTATGTGGAAAAGCTATGCACAATTATTATTTGAAAACCAAAGAGAAGACAGACAACCTCTCAATTGTAAAGACTGGTCAGGCCCGGAAATTCTTGAATCTGGAGTTCGGCATGCTATGAAAGCTATGAAAAATCGAAAAAGCCCCGGTCATGACAACGTGCATGCAGAAGTTCTTAAAATATTTGACTGAAAGCATCTCACATATCTATTCAATCGAATATACGATACGGGTAAAATTCCAAACGACTGGCTAAAATCAACTTTTATAACAATTCCCAAAAAGGCATCTCCAAAAGACTGTAGTGATTACAGACTTATAAGTCTAATGAGTCATGCTCTGAAACTTTTTCTTCGAGTCATGCATGCTCGTATATACTCGAAATGTGAAGAAAAAAGCGGAGAGACACAGTTCGGCTTCATCAAGGGGCTGGGTACCAGAGAGGCTCTGTTTTCAATCAAGCTACTAATCCAGAAATGTTATAATCAACGCCAAGATGTCTTTGTGTGCTTCATAGATTATCAGAAGGCTTTCGACAACGTTAAACACGATATTCTCCTAAACAGACTGCTCGAGATAGGAATAGACGCCAAAG